GGGGGAGCCTCCTTACTTAGGACTTAGCATTACGTGGTTACTTTATGAGATGGCCATGATGGGCACATCTGTTACTAACCAAGTATCTTGTGGATATCAAATCATGTTTAATTTCACTTTGTGAACCATGATCTATCACACACCTAGGGTCAAAGAAGAAAGTAAACATTGGCTCAGGTTTGATTTTAGCCAGTAACATGATTACTGAGCTGATGAACATAAGGGTTTTGGACCTCACATTCCCTCATCTGTAAAGTGGGTGGTATGGTCTTTAAGGTCCCTTCTGTCTCTTAATATTTTATGCTTTTAGGATTTCAATTACTGATTGACATTTGACTAAGCAGAAGACATGATGAGAGACCAGCTTATTAAAGAACATCTCTGAATATTGGCCTGGAGCATCGAAGATTATGCCTTTAGATCTACCATACTTTGCCACTCGCTAGCTGGTGACTTTGTGCAATTACCTAGCTTTTCCTTATATGTGACTACTAAGAGATGATTGAGTGGATTTGATCAAAGTCATTCTGGCTTTTAATTTCCAGTGATTAGACTTTAACATGGCTGGCTAATAATGGCTGGATAAAGAGCTCTGGCTTTACTGTCAACTCAGGGCTTCATATCAAAGCTCTGCCACTCACTAGCTATGTTGTTCAAACCCTGTGCCTCAGTTTCCACTCCTGTCCAGTGGAATGTTTGCTTGTTCTGCCTCATAAGGCTGTTGTAATGATTAAATGTGTGGAGAAGGCACATTGTAAAAATTTTAAATTGCTGTATAAATTTTAAGAGGTGTTACTATTTCAGTTGATGGCTGAGCTCGATCTAGAATGTCACTAGGGAGAAGCCTGACTGAAGTGAAGAAGAAATTGACTTTGAGCTCTCCTCTCATGCTGGGTTGTACCTGGGGCAGAGGGGACTTGGCATGCTTTAGGGTGGGCTGTGCATTTTTACATCTAAGTCCCGAAGTAAGCAAGGAAATGGCCATATTTCAGCAAGACAGGAGGTCCATAGTGAGATGAAATGGTGAGGAAGTCAAGGCATGGCCCTGAAGGAGCTGTCTTCCCCATGTTTTGTGGGGCAGGGTGGGAGAGAGGAGAATGGCCAGTTGTTTTTAAATACGCATGTATAGATAATAGTAAAACTGTAAGGTTATCTTATGTGTTTGTTGAATCCTGGGAAATCGTATTTTCTCTGTATTTTCTAAAATGAATATGTATTTCTTAAATCATCATAATAAAGATGTTTTCTTTAAAAATTGGAGAAAATCAGTTTTTACAAATGTGGGTTCATCTTTTTTCTGCTTAACCTTTATTTTTCATTTGATTAAAGGACTAATAAAAATCTCTCTTTGAAATTAGGATATGTCTTGTCTTCCAAATCAATATTAGATTTCTGTGCTTTTCACGTGTATGTTATCATATTTCAGTGTGATTAGAATGTAGAAAACATCTATTCAAATTCTTTGAATATTTTAAAAAGACAGCTGGAGTTTTATCTGGTTTAAGTATCTTTAAACGCATCATCGTAGTAAAAAATTACTATTGCCCCAAAATGTTTTATTACCTTTATTCTATTTAAACACTTTTTTAAATAGGTTCTTATCATTGATTGACCTGTAAGTTTTACTTCCAGGAATTCATCTTAAGGAAATAATTGGACAAGTGTGTGAAGATAGAGGAATGTTCATCACAGAATTTTTTAAATGCAATAAATAAAAGTGGGATAAATTAAAAGAGGATTGGCTTATACGTGATATAGTCATTACTAGAAACATGTCTATTTTACCTAAGTATTCTTTCCTCCTTTAAGCTAAAAAACACACATACAGACACACACATTTTCTGTTCTAAGAGAGAGGTTTATATATATTCATAGAAAAATGTGTGAAAAGATAACATCTTTGATAGTTGTTGACTTTAGCTAGTGGATTACAGATTTACCTTCAGATTTATTTTTCAGTTTTCTATAACAAGTATATATGTGTATATATAATATTTTAAAGGTGAAAATAAAAGCACTATTAAGTAAAAATTTTGTTTAATGACTGCTAGATCTAGAGGTTGTATGACAGCTTTTATTACATAACTAAATATCATTTTCTACATAAAATAGCTTTTATAGATTCTCATTTGGACATAAACTAGAAAACTCTTTTATCCTTGGAGATGGATTTTTAGTGACTTACTAAATTTTATCTTAATTAGAATCTGAACTAACAAATCACTTGATTCTTCAGTACTTTAGATTTTTTTATTAAAATGGCACTAATACTCCATTTTATTGTGAGGATTTTAAATACTGTGGCAAACACAGTCCCTGTGAGACTCGCACGTGTGTGTATGTGTGTGTGTGTATTAAGCACTGTGGAATGTGTACGCAAAGTACCAAATATTCATTTTTAGTCACTAATCAGCAATAACAATGTTCACTGAGTACTTGTAAAATTATGATCACTTGCTTCGTGAGGCATGTAGCAAATAAGGTTAAAAAAAGATGCCTACAAAGGACTAACAAGTGGAAAACAGTAATCAGGACTCTATTGTGGGTAAGTAAGGTCCAGTAGTATCTTATGCTGTGATAGTGTTGAAGACCAAGAGAGATCAGTTAAGGCTGATTAGGGCCAGAGAATCTCCTGTACTTGGAATTAGTTCTTGAGCTGCCCTTAAAGAAGAGGAGGGTGTGGCTGAGCAGTGGGAAGGAATGGCAGTGTAAGAAAGAAGGTGGAGATGGGAAAGAGTTGGTGTTCTCCTGGCTTCGACTGGGAAGCTTCATAGCAGTTAGTATACTGGTTAGGTAGGTGACCCAGGGTTAGGTCATAGCAGAAGACGAGAGAATTAGACAGAAATAAGATTTGCAATCTCAGAACCCTTTCCCTGTCAACAAATGATCCAGAGCTGTGATGTGATAAACTGGATCTGTACCTATCCTTTCCTTCTGCTTCAGTAAAAGCATCTGTGGGTGAGCCTCTGTGCTTTCTAGTTGTGTGTGTGTGTGTGTGTGTGTGTGTGTGTGTGTAGGAATTTTCACCTTTATTAAGTGTAAAAATGAGTGATGTTATTTACATTCATAATATTGTACAGCCGTCGTTGCTGTTTCAAATTTTTTATCACCTCCCAATAGAAACTCTGTGTCCATTAAGTAATAAATCACTATTCTTCCTCTCCATGGCAACCTTTGAGGCACTTGCTGCCTCTATGTATTTGGCTTTCCTAAGTGCTTCATGCAGTGGATCGTACAGTTTTTGTCCTTTTTTGTTGGCTTATTTCACTTAGCTTAACGTTTTCAAGGTTTATCCATGTTGTAGTATGTATCAGAGCTTCATTATTTTCTATCTGAATAAAATACCACTAAAATGTTCTTTTGAAATGGCAATAATAAAGTGTGCTATTTACTTCTTTTTTAATTGAAAAATTAAAAATTGTCATTCTCGCGTCAATTCCCTGGAATTATTTTGAATTTTCATACATCAATGAAAGCCAAGTCTGGGAACTATGCTCTAGTACATGGTGCATCTTTGCAATGTTTACTTCCTTTTGGCACCATCACAAATGATTTGTAATGTGGATTCAGTTAGGCTGAAAGGATGTCTGCTGAAAGCTGTCTTTTTATCTCATTCCTGTTTCTGGATAACAGATCCATCAAAAGAAATGCCTTTTGGTGATTCTTCAATACTAGAGTTTTCTAAAGAAGTAGAGGATCCTTTTCTAATGCGATGCAATGATAAGACAGAGGTGGGGAGAAGGGTATATTTACAACTGAACAAGCACTGAAGTATGGGAAGCAGGACAGGGAACCAATTAAGGTAACTAGTGTGTAGTTTGACTGGTGAGCTCTGTAGGCCTGGATGATGGTGTTTCTATTCATGAGGCTAGTGTTCCAACACATAATAATTGCAAAATAGAAACTTTGCAGTATTCCAAGTCATATATCCAAGTAGAGTATCAGGCAGGTGACAGCCTAGATCTCTGGTGGTTTAGATCTACCTAGAAAGTGCCTACTAGATTTTTAAATTTTTCATGATTTTCTTACGGTGAGTCCAAAATCTCACTAAGGAGAATACTTTCAATGCTTCTTTCTTTGGAGGATAGGGTGAATGAGAACTGTAAATGCTACATTTTACAATGAGCGGGACTGTTGTGCAGTATGTTTGTAGTCACTTACTAGAAAATGTTGCTCAACTACGCGGGAGACATCATCACCATGTTCCTGGAGCTGTTGGGACAGTGGAAGAAGACTCTGCTGAATTGTGGCCACGTAGTACCACAGGTGTGGACCACGATTTGAGAGGGGGGTAGAAGTGGATAAAGGGATAAAGGAAGGATGTTTTTGTAGTACAAGCGCAAGAGATGTGTATGAAGCTCCCTGAGTCCATCTGGTTCAAGCTCAAGACATGAAGCTCTAAGTTAAACACCTTGATCAATTTCTTGATCTTCTTTCTAATCCAGAGCTTCATCTTCTACACAAAAGAAAGAGGCTAGTGCAAGTGACCTGATGAAAGTGTAATGAGGTTGGTTTTGATCTGTTGTGTAATAAAAACAACACTTAAAGATTTATGGGGCTAAATTAACCTGGATTTCAACTGTCAGAGTAAGGAAGCAATCTCAGTACTAATTGACAATACTAATATGTTTTTCTCCTAATTAAAAATATTAACAAGGAATATCTTTAATATAGTACCATTGGGGGCAATGGGAGAAGAAGAGACTTAGATTTTTAAATATTTATTCTGATTATATGTTGGAGGGAGTTACCAACTCCCCACTGCCAAGGGTCCAAATCTGCTCACATGGTATTTATTATTCAATTTCTTTCTTTCTTAGCATTTCAGTGAAATATCTGTTTAATGGCACCTTCCTAGAGCCATCCAGTCACTAGGCCAGCCTAATAAGAAATTATATTTTGTCAAGCTAAGTTACCTAAAGATACCAGGCTCTGTGGGATTGAGTAAATAGTGTGATTTAAAAAAAAACTAGTCTAATTTCTAATTGTTCCTTCATAAGGCTCTCTTATCGGATCATGTATATGGCTTGGGGAGAAGGCTGTTTTTAATCAAGGTAAGAACTGGGAAAGGGGAAGGGAAAAATGGAGTAAAAAAGCTAGCACACAGTATGCCTGGCACTTAATAGACACCGGCTTACTGTCTCTTCACAGTATTCCCATGATATGCAGAAGTCATTTTCTTTTTATAAATGAGTACATTAGCATCAGGGAGTCTTCCATTTGATGATGGTCTTAACTCACCAGGGATGCGCTTGGACCAATGCACCTCCACTTTTCAGTTTCTAAGGAGTCTGTTGAACTACCATTGCACTACCAGGATTTTTCAAGGTTTTTTCCCCATGTTTTAAGGATATGATGAAGAACACAGTCTGAGAGAAGCTTCCTGTGCTGTCTGAAGTAGTACTTCTTAAGCAGTCTTTGTCCTGTATCTCGACTCTGTTTTGTACACTTGCTTATTTATTTTACTAGTATGTAAGCTTTAAAATTTTTGATTTAAGCTCCTTGAGATCAGATGCTTTATTCTGTCCAGCTCCTAAAGGCCTGGCACATAGCAAGATTCACTAAATAGTTGATTAATGGATTTGCTAATGAGATGCAATACCAGAAGCTTCTAAGAGGTAGGAGCTTAGCCTTCATCATGGCTCTTGGGAAAGCAACAGAACAAAAAAGGTGATTATTCACATAAAGCAAAATGTAAAAGAATGGTATGTGGAGAATATTTGAGTTAAAAAAAATAGACACTCCCCATAAAATTCAATTAGGTGCACAGAAAACTATTTAATGTTTAATGTGCCAGTTCCTTTAAATGATGGTTATACTAAAAAAACTACAAAACTAGGGTCAGAGATACAGCTACTGTCCTCCAGAATCGGTCAAAAGAGCCCTAAATGGATTGTTTTCCTGTATGGCTAGTCTTCTGCTATCTGTAACTGATCTGATATTTTGGAAGAATAAAGAATATAAAGTAATGAGGCTGGTATGCCCTTTCCCAATTCTATTATTGCATTAACTATACACACACACACACACACACACACACACACACACATGAACTGTTGCTAGATTCTGTGAAAGGATGCTGCCCACATGCAGGAGACTGAGAGGATTTCTTTTGGCATGAAGTGGGACCATGTAGATAAAGGACAACAAGGTAACAACAGTACTGTTTGGGGTCTAATTTTGAATCTCATAAACAGCCCTACTTCAGAAGCATGAGAGGTAAAAGGCAAGAGGGAGCAGAAGGACAAAGTGGAAACTATCACTGGAGTCCTTCGGGCTTTGTGGTTTGATGATAACGGAGCTGGCAGTGTGTGTGGCTGGTCTTTCCAAGGGCAGAGCTCAGCCTTGCGTGGTGGTTGGCAGCACCACAGAGGTCAGATCACACCAGCCTCAGGGGAAGGAGGCTACCCATATGGTGTACAGCCAGGGCTCCTGCCCTGTTCTTCTAGGCTTCTGGGTTTCCAGCTTCTGGTTTAATGTTCTCCGGAAGGATTTAATAGCATCCAGAGGGAGTAGTAGGATCTCAAAAGATCTTCACTCTCAGTCTGCTTTAGGGAATAAATCTAAGGTTTAGGTAAAATTCTTGACATCCATAGATAAGAAACTCTTTCATGGCTTGGAGCCCTGTAAAAAGAGTTTGCATAATTAGGCAAGAGAGCATTGTATTCACCAGCCATTCATACATGCACCAAATATTTATTATCTTCTGTGTGCCTGGCATTGTTTCTGGATGCTTAGAATAGAGCAGCAGAAAAAAGACAAAAATCTCTGCCTTCATGGAACATACATTCTATCAGAACAATTTTCTATAAGGCAATTTTAGACAGCATCTGCTCTAATCTGTTGTCTCAAAAAACAAGACTCCATAGCTGCTCTACTTGGAGTACACACCACAGAAATCATCCACAGGTGCCCAAGAGAGGTATGGTGAAGCTCATTGAAACTTGTGCATGAGAGAGAAAATTGCAAATCTGAAAGTCACTAGAGAAAGATATAAATAAACATGATTTGTTTATTTCATAGCACTTAAGCATAGTGGTCTCCTGTGGATCTCTGGAACCAGAAACCTGGTTTTTAATCCAGTTGCACCACTCACTGGTCTGTAACATGCAGATTAATAACAATATTTATCTCCCAGGACTGTTTGAGCATTACATGAGAAATGTGAGCCCATTAGAATAGTGATTGGCACAAAATAAGTAGTTAATAAATGTTAGGTGTGTTTGTTTTGCTGATTATGGAGTACTATGTAGCAGTTAAGGAATGGACTAAGTATATATATATCAGCATGAATAAATCTAAAATATGTAATGCTCCATTTTTTTTCATTCAATAAATATTTACTGAGTGTCTACTATGTTCCAGGCAGTGTTCTAGGTACTTGGGAATCACCAGTGAACAAAACACAGATCCTGCTCATGTGGACCTTGTATGCCAGAGGTAGGGAAATGGATGTAAAATATAAGGGAATTCCATGCTACATTAGGAGGTGATAAGTGTTGTAAAAAGGGGGAAGTGAAGTATAGTAAAGTATTGAGAATACCAGAGTTAAGGGGCAGAGTTGGATGAATTTTAAGACAACAAAATAAATGTTAATGATTACCAGCTCCAGGTGGTGAGTATACAGGTATTCCTTATATTATTTCTTTTGCTTTTCTTTGTATTTAAAAATATGTTTATATTGAAAATTTTCTCTCTGATTCAAAAGGAAAAAAGTGAGTCTGAAATATGAAGGGAGTTGACTAAGAAGTAAAAGTTTAAAAGCTAAATGAGATGCAAAATTTTTAAAAAAAGACTATAAAGTAAATGTTGGAGCTTTGATGTTCATAAGAGACAGGGATGAGCAGAATCACAATGCAGAAAATGAAACAGTAGTATGGTGGTTAAGTGTTACAGTCAACATAATCAGAACTATAACCAAGCAACAAATACAGAACTTTTTTAGGTGAAGACGCAGGAGTGATTAAAAAGTAAATTCAATACCCAGACATGTTGTGCTAACAATGTTATAAAAGCTGTTAATTAACTACCCTATCTGCCTTAGGAGCTCTTTATTTTGGGGTATGACACTGTGCCCAACTGTAAAACTACAGTTTTCAAGGCTGCCTTGTCTCTTCCTGCTCTATGGAATATGGATGTCAAGCCTGTGTCAGCAGTAGCACTGTGGGCTTCTAAATAATGGTAGCTGCAGCTAAAATAGATGGTAGACTCTGGCTCTCTCCATGTTGCTAATGTGTGAAGAAGACAGTCAGAAGGGCTTTTTCAGGTCTGCAAGAGCTCGCAAAATACATAACTCCCACACGCGCTGACTATACAGACCTAGAGTCAAAGTCCATCAACACCACATCCAAGCAGTGTAAACCTAAGCCAGTTATTTAAGCTCTTAAAGCGCTAATTTCTTTATCTACACACCAGAGAAAATATGATCTCATAAAATTGTTATAAAGGTAAGAGAGGTGATGTGTAACTAAGCCCTTTGGTCAGCTATTAGCACTTTTGAAAAGAAAATTTATTAGGACAGCCAACCACGAGAGGAATCAGAGTCAAAAATGCTGACATACACAATGTTTTAGATGCATTGAGAAAAATGTAATAGAACATAGACATATTTACATAATCTTGGGATGAGAAAGTGTTATAAATACAACAGCAAAGGTATAAGTGAAAATAAAAGATGTATGTATGTGACGACAAAATTTTTTAAAATTAGACTTTATAGTTAGAGATTATAAAAAATTAAAAAGCAATTAGTAAACTCTAAGAAACTGACATTCAGAATGAAAGATAAACCTCCCAATAAATGTTATATCTAAAAAGGACATGAAAATGCAGTTCATAAAAGAATATATAAATGACCATCATAAGAAAAAAATATCTTTCTGGTGATGATCAAATATGGGACAAATTAAATTTATCCATAGAGCATTAATTAAATTATAGCATTTTCATATTAATAAGTTCCCATGTCATTAAAAATGTGATAGAGGAATATTTTAGGAGGTGGGAAATAATTTGCTATGAAAAAATTTTGTAAAACTGTTATGATCTATATTACGTTCCTTTTTTTATGTAACAAAACAAAAGATGGAATAAAAAGATATATGGAGATATGTAACTCTCTCAATCCTGGAAAGAAGACCAAACTGCTAATAACAGCTATTTTTAGTTGGAGTAATCTTACTTTTTTGCAGTTTTGCATTTCAAAATTTTATGCAATATGTATTTCTTTGCTAATTGGAAATTTAAAAATTGTACTTGAAAATTTTTCATAGGCATTGATAACAGGAGCCAGTTTGAGAATACCTACTGGCCAAATTTGAGAGAATTTGAACATCATAAAGGATAACAATGGCAAAGATTATGAAAAGGAGAAGGATAAAGAAAGCTCTTTATTAACCCACTTTCTGGTCCCCTTTCTGTCTCTTTTAGATAGAAGCTTTCTTTCTCTCAATAAATTTTTCCTACTCTTAAAAAAAGAAAGCTGTTATAAGACAATGCCATTTAGCAATATAGAAGGAATTACAGAGTGAGAAAATAAAAATTGCAATTCTCAGTGTAATAATGGATTCAGGCAGGAATCAGAGCAGTAGATATAAAAATGGCTGAGGAAAAGGTTGCTGAAGGACTAGATGATTATGTGGTGTCAGTTTCACACCCACACATTACTTAATATTACAAAGGAAGTGGTGTACCTTCATAATGGAGAGGTCTGGCCAATATTACCTTTTAGCCAAGTGCTCAAACTTAGCATAATGGAATCATGTGCAATCAGAAGTAGACAAATGTCACCTCCCTTCCAAAAATGTTTAACCTAGATCCTTTCATGAAGAATCAACCAGACAAAGCCAGAATGTGGGGCATTCTCAAGCCAGCTAATCCAAACTTCAAACAAGGAAGCTACAGGGACTGAAGACAGTTCTAGATTTAAAGACACAAGAAGACCTAATAACCAGGCATACTACTTGAAGCATATGAAAAGCATTTTGGGAATCAGCAGGGAAATATAAAAAATTTAAAATGAAAAATCTAAGGATTTTATGAATTAAAGTTAGTGTTTTAGATGTGATCACAGTATTGTGATTATGTAGGAGAATGTTCTTCGGAGACACTTCACACAGAATTTAGGCATAAAGTGTTACAATGTCTGCTACTTATTTTCATGTTTCATCAAAAATACATATGTGAGCCGGGGATTTAGCTCAGTGTTGCTGCTGCTTGCAAGGTGCCAAGTTTGATCCCTGGTACCCGACAAAAAACCAACCAACCAACCAAACAAACAAAACATGTGAGAGGCAAGATAATGAGGCTTAAGTTTAACATCTGAGGACAACAAGTGTAAGCACTGTTCATTGTGCTTACAACTCATTTGTATAGCTTTCAACATTTTCTAGTTAAAAGGTTGGGTTGGTGGGGGATTCAGGTAGAAACTAGAAGGAGAAAGAAAACTAAAATACATGAATGAAGGGGCAAGGTACTCAGTTATAATGCTTGGGTCTTTTTTGATTCCTCATTCAAGCAAACCAACTTTAGGAAAATGTTGAGACAAACAGGAACGTTTTAGCTTTGGGTATATTTGATGAACTGAAAGACTGGCCATCTATGATCATTTCTGAAGCTAGCTTGTGATGTGAGGCATTGATTATCTTGTCCTGTCTACCTTTGCATGTTTGAAGACTTTCATAGTTAAGGTTCAAAATTAAATAGTAATGTTGGATTTTCTCAGTGAGTGAGTGAGTCTGTGACCAAATAGACAACTATATGATTCTTTATTATTAACTAAAGAATTACAGAAAAATGGTAAGTTGTAAGATCTAGGTTAGTACCTGAGCTTTTCTCACAGTAGTGTTGTTAAGTGAACCTGGTGAAACTGGGGGAGGTGAAGGATATGTACAAATAATTGTCTTTTTTCCCTTTTATTTTCATTCTTTTAATTTCCCTAATTCATGAAGCTCCTGACCACCATAAAGAAAGCTAAGTTGGGGCATTATCCTCATCACTTGCAAAGCTGATGAAATGTTATTTATTGTTTCCACTTAAGTTTGAGAATCTTTAGATTGTCTGTTTAATCAATTCTGTATTTAGCTAGAAAAAGTTTTATTGTCCTGTATTTTCAAGATGGTATTATGGCTTCTGGCACTAATTTAACATTTAGGTGAAGATAAAACAAATTTTTGAAGGGATGGTCACTTGGGAAAATTATATGGACCAAAAAAAAAAAAAAAAAAAAAAAAAAAAAAAAAAAA